TTTGACGGGCTCTATTCATGTGGTTGAGGGTAGGAGAGAGCTTGCAAGTTGTTCGGCCTGATGCTTCACACGCGCAAGAAGATTTCTGTTACTCACGGCAGAATCGCGAAACTACTGCTGCGACGGGCGTTTGTGTTTGGCTGTGGCGTGTCTGCCTGCCTGACCACCTGCAGCAGTAGCAGCAGTAGCAGCAGTGGATCGCCATCCCTTGGCTTTCCTCGCGTCTTCTCTCGTTATACACTTGCTGCGCTTGGTTGTGGTGTTTTCAGCCAGGTCAAACCGATGTTTTGTCCCGCACAGGGCGCATCAACCCAAAACGCCCGTTCTGTCTGTAGCTCTAGGATGGTATGGGATGGGCCTGTGGCCATTTCGTCGGTTTGTTTATCTACGGTGGGTCCAGCCCGTTTGCCTGGTCGTTATTCTGAAAGTTTACAAAGAGCAGAAATTTCAAACAAAGGCCTTCAATAGGGGCATATTCTCATATTCTGAACCCCAGCCCCCTAAAAAATAACAAGACGGGACTGTCAGCACCGGGAATGGGCGCAACTCAATCAAAAGTTATTTTCTGAACACTCATCGCATTCGAAACGTACGCGTTTCGGCGTACCGTGTGGTGTTAAAACGCTTGTTCGCAGTGGTGGGTCGTTGGGTTGTCCGCCGAGGTCCGTTGACTTCGTGTGCGGCAAGGTACCCTAGGTTAACCTCCGGGAAAAGGGAAGAAACGATGAGGTTTGCGAGAAATGGCCCCCCTTCAGGCGGACTCGCGTATTGGAACATTCGGAGGCACGTTTTTTTGTGGGATATTTTGACACGAAAGTGAATCCAGAGCCCGTTTGACACCCCTAAGGATTCATTTTTAGTATTGTAGCTGGGTGCAGCTTCACGGAGAGCCCCTCCCACGCTCAAGGGCTCCGAACGTTCCGCTGTTTTTAGTTTGCTCTTTCTTGTTTTGTGAGACGGTGACACTCTTAGTTCTCTTGTGAGCTCACCCCGGGGGTTGGACGAGCTACAAGCGTTAGTAGGGGCCAATATATATGTAATATTCAATGATGCTGCTGTATTAGGCTGCACAGTGCCAAGGGATTTGTTTGCCCGCCCTTACACCGGGCACCCGGCAACATTCAGAGTATGAAACAACTTGGATATTTCATCTGTGTCACGCGATTACGATGTCACCGGCATCATTCAGGGCAGCTGACTTTCGGTCCTATTGGGGGACGTCCCACCGTCTTCGATTGATTCCATACTAGCTGCAAAGCCCCATGTTTGCTCTGGGCTCCAATATGTTTCCCTATAATCCCCCCAAACCTCATGTTGTTCATCAGATGGGAGAAGCTATGACGGAGGCAGGTGCAATCTCCGCCACGGCCGCGTTCTTCCGACGAAGCATGGACGCTTGCGCCTGGACCGAAGAGCACACTCCGACCCCCCTCAGCACCAGCAGCTCCGCACCCGGCGCCCCGCCGCTACTCAGATTTTGCCTGTCTTCAACCAACCCCGGCTGGGCATTCCGCGCAGCCCTTGGCAGCAGCAGCGACGACACCACCGATGATATGCCCCCCCCTTCTACGGCGTCCTCTTGCCCTGGTGGTCGCGGCCGGCCCTCCGCGGTTGATCTCGAGCTTGTCGTGTCCCGTGGACCCGGCCCGGATTTCTCGGAGCACGAGACCAGCGTTGCCTCTCACGCGGCGACTTTACTCTCCCAGGCCCTCGCCGGCATCCGCGATCGCGCCGCGTTGTCCGAGATGAAGGCCGCCCTGCGAGAATCCTTCCGGGGCATGGAGGAAGCCTCCGACGCCGTCGCTGTCCTGGTGGGAGAGAGGGACCGACGGGCGCAACGCGAGGCGAAGAGGAAGGCCGAACTTGACGAGCACTGCGCGGGAGAGATAGCGGCTGCAGAGAAGGTGTTGGGGAGGGCTCGTCGAGATGCGGAAGTGCTCCGGCGGCAGCTCAAGGGAGTCTGTTCCGCGGTCACTGATATTGGTGCTGCTTGTGGAGCGGGTGATCTTGCCGGGGCCAGGGCCTGGACCGGGGATGATGCGGAGGAGGTCGGCCTGTCTGATGAGTCGGGTACGGGCAAGGTAATAGCGGTAGTTGAACGCGCCGCTCGAGACGCTCTGTGCTGTTCGTTTGCTCGCGTAGTTCGCCTGCCCTTCGCCGAGATGGAGGCCAACGCGGAGAGCGAGACGGAGCTGAAAGAGGACCGGATTGCAAGGGACGCAGTACCACTTTCGCAGCGACAGATAGGTGAAGGGATTCACACACACAGGGCTACCAGTGGTGTACGCGGCGAGGACGAAGAGAACGCAATACCGCATTCCTACCCTGATTCCATCAGTGGTGATGGCGGCCCGGGCTTGGCGGAACAACTGCAAGTACACGTTCCTTACTACGGAAGCCGCGCCGAACCCCTGGTCCTCTCCATCCGTGGCAATTTAAACGCGACGCAGGGTTGCTTCAGGAACAGAGACAGAATTGCAGTGGCTTCGGCCCTGGCGGCGTGTCTAGGTATAGCGCTCCAGTTTTTGCGCGAGAAGGAACACGTACGGCGCCTGAAGGAACGAGACGAGGTTGCCGCGGCCTGCACGTCCGCCGCCGAAGCGGAAGCGCGGACGCGAGGGCAGCGCGCCGTCGCCGGCATGAGGGCCCTGGTTGCAGCCGCCGAGGCTTCAAAAGCGCAGGCGCGGGCCGAGGCGGCGGCCGCAGAACGGGCAGACCAGCAGACCGACGCTTTGCGGCACCTCCTGTCGGGCTTGGACGAGGCCGGAAGGAAGGGCCACGCCGCGGTAGCCGCGTCTGTCGAAAGGCTAGCCAGCGCGGTGGTTCCGGGCTGCGAAGGGAGTGTCCTTCTCACCCCGCGTCGACACAGAAGCGGCGGAAGTAGTAGGAATGCGGCAGGGGTGGGGGGCAACCGCCGCACTTCCTTCTCGCCCGATCCGCGCGCCTGGGCAACAGCCACAGCGTCGAAAATGCAGGGGGCGGTGGACGGTTCGGAAAGATTTGAGTGCGGAAAGGCTTGGGCGCGGACGGTCGAGGAAGCTGCCGTGCAGGCGTACTCCACCGGCAAGACAATGTGCGTGACGACGAACTTAACCCCTGCCCGTTCTTCGCAAGGCTGTAGGGGTGGCAATGACTCTGGTGGTGCTCCGAGGCAGAGCCCGGTGGTTTGTTTTTCGCCCGTTCCCGCCGTACTGCCTGTTGAAGCCGAGCGATTGGTCAACGGGGAAAACGGCCGCCCGGGGACCCCGGTGTCTTCAGACAGGATGAGAGCCGCTGAATTGCAGAGGGAAGGCGTGGATTGTGTTGCCAGCAGCTGTGCAATGTCGGGCAGCATCGGCACCACCGGCCTGCTCGCATGGGTGCTGCGGCTCGACGCTGTTGAGGCTGCTTGCTACAATGGCGACGACGAAGAGGGTTCGGGGTCGCCGTCGGACGCCGTGTCACCCTTGACCGAGGCGATATCTGAACCACCGTCACCACCACCGCCGCATCTACCGCCGCGCATTTTGAGCGCCATCAACGCCGTTATCCACGCCGTGGGCCTTGCGCTGTTCGCCACCGATACCGCTGATGAGATTGACGGACGGCCGGAGCGATCGAACGCCTTCAAGAGGAGGCGTTCAAGCTCTCGGCGCGCGCGGCACGTCGAAAACCGGACGCACGAGGTAATTTCGTCGTTGACGGGCCCTGGGGAAACCCAGCTGCCAAAGTCTTCCCGGGAAGAAGAGCTGAGGGGGCTCCGCGCCGGAACGGCCGCCCTGGCCGAGCGCGTGCAGACTCTAGAGGGGCGAGCCGCAGGCCTAAGGGCCTCGGAAGCCCGCTGCGCGGCGGCTCTGGCGAGGGCAAGGGCAGACGTGGGCGCAACGAGGGGAGAGCTCCAGCTCGCCGAGCTCGAGCTCGAGTGGGAGCGGAAGAAGAACGCTCAGGCCACCCCGACAACCGATACCTTTGGCGGCGTGGAGGGGGTGTTTGGGCTGTGCTCAAGCCGGAGGGGAGGGCGCAGTGGAGGGGTGGCTGGCATGCTGCGACCGTCTTGCGCGAGCAACAAGCAAGCGGGTGTGCTGGGTGTGAGTGACACCGTGGGGTCTACGCTTTTAGGCTGGAGCCATCCGGCTTCGCGAGCGGAACGGGTGCTTTTCCCACATGCTCACGTAGCTGGCTCCAAGGAGAGTGAGACTCGAGACGGCGGGGTGGATGTGGCGGCCATGCCCTCAGTATCTTCCCCGCCGTTCACCCGTTCGGGCGCCTCTTCCGCGGCACTCCAGCACATCACCTCCGTTCACGCGCGGCTTTCAGACTCGCTGAAGCGGGGTAGGGTCGGGGGGACGCCAGCCGTAGGAGTGGTCTAAGCAACCAGTGCCTCAGTCCTCGTAGAGAAAAATATCAACAATGATTCATGCACCGTCCGAAGCGGTCGACCAGCTCTTGTTTCCTTGTCTGCACCCGCCATTGTTACAAGGACATCGCAGTTCAGGGTTTTCATTTTTTTTCGGCGCAGGTTTTATTGAGAAGAACCTTCGTTTGCCGCCCGCTGCGCGACGAAAGCTCTCTTGATGAGTCTGTCGCGGGACGTTGTGCCACGGGCGTCGAGCACACCAAAGGGTACCAACGTTTTCGATGGAGTCTGGTTGTGCGTACCGTCCTGTACAGCAAGCGAGCTGTGCCAAGAGAGCGGGTGGACTCGTGTGTGAACTCCGCAGGTTTTAGAGAAGACTTTGTGTAGTTTCGATGCACCCACACGGAAGTCAATCCTATCTTAGGTCTAATTTTTGGTGCCGGGTGGTTTCCGAAAGCGCATGAGGGATTGCGTGAGGGGACGTTTGAGGCCACAACGCTCACTGCCAACAATACAGGCCGGGAAATCCAAGTCCCCAGCTGGCAGATCGCACCAAGAATAGGGTACAGTAACGTACGACCCGATTGGGCCAAAAGCTCGAGAGATGAGTCGAGGTGCAGCCGAGCACAACCCCGGCAAATGCGAGAGACAATTCCACATATGGCCGTTTCGTGTTGGCGGTCAAATGTCGTCGACGAAAAAAAAAATATTGCAGTGATGACGTCGTTCCCAAACACACGAGGCAAGAAAACAAAATAGACAAAAACAAGTGAAACCTCGTCAACGCCGCAGCGAAATCATGTATTCGGTGTCGCGGCGGAGGCATTCCCGCAGAACTTAGGGGAAGGTCCACTGTACCCCCGGCCCATGAATGCCAACGCGTGCTGCCGGTAAAAAACACGAATGACGGTTTGCTACCGCCAGGTGCGCTGCGCTACGTGGCTCTTACACAAACATTCCGACCGCAGTGCAGTGTCGTCCAATTCGTTCCACTACGCAACTCGTGACGTCACACACAGCAGCCGCAACAAGGTCGAATGCTGCTGCAGGACGGGTGCCTATCCAGAACACGAGGCTACCCAAAACTCTACCCTAACGAACTCTATTTTGACTGAGAAAACACCAAGACACTCCGAGTACGAGTATGACACACGGGAGGCAACTGCATCATGAAAAATATGAAAGTAATACTGTTATGCATAGCGCGACTGACTGCGGTAAAATGCGGGCCGGATACTCTAAAAACGAAACACTCCCGCCACAACTCACATGCCACCCCTCCTTGCTGCATGCGTGCTCAAAAGGCCTTGCACACGGGCAGAGAACAACGTGCGTGAAAACGGATGCACCACCGACTACACATGAGGGAAAAACGATATCGGACATGATCAGAAAGACGCGGAAAATCGTGAGGAAAAGTTTCCCCTTCCCAATCTGCTGTTCGGATGCTGTCCTCCCCGTACAGCGTCCCGTCTAGATGCTCCAGGCATCGGTCTCCCCCCCTCGCCCCTACCATCCCCACAAAACTCCACGTGAGCTCAGTCGGTTTTAGCCTTGGGTTTGGGCTCGAGAACTTTCCACAGCAGGGTGCCCGCCACCGCCGCGGCGCAAGGAGCGACCCAGTACACCAGGAACCACTGCTGGTTCATGGTGACAGACTTGTCGTACACCGCCTGATGAGTATCACATCGGCACAAACAAGGCAATACAAGCGGCAAGGGGATACCAGGCTCATATACACACAGGAACACTGGTCATTCCTTCAGTTAAGGGCAGGGTTGCGTGGGCGGAGTTTTTTTTACACGTGGTGAATGCTACCATAGCAGGGCACGGAGGGAAGCCAGCCTGACGGGGTGGCACCGCGGGCAAGAGCGTTGCCAAAAAATAGAGATGGCCTGGCGAGACTGAAGCCAAACCTTGTCAAAATATCGCTGGAATACCGACCCGAAGAAAATGTTAAACTTGAGGCCACATCCGTCATAGCCGTCATCATTGTGTGGAAAAAAAAAATGGCGATGCCGCCGCATGAGCTGCGATGACGGCCTGCCATGCCATACGCCCAACCCGTCCCGCTCTCAACTAGCAGCGCAGTTGCGAGTTTGGTGTTCGCACGCCACCCGCCATAATTACGACATATAGTACCTATGACCCACGCCACTAGCAAATGTGATGGCTGCTACGACCGTGCTCTCACCCAAGCAGTCGCGATCATGGGGTTCATTGCGGGCCCAGTCTTCCCGCCCTTGACAGCGCTCAAGTGGATAAGCGCGCGGATGCCCGTGGCGATCACCGGTCGCTGTCCAGGAAGACCGATCTTCAAATTACGGAACGAACGGAAACAACACAGTCCAGGGTAGGAATGGAGGAAAGGGGGCGAAGTACCGTTGGGGACCCTATCAAGGGGGACAGCGAGAAGGATGCAGCCAGCCGAATTCTGCTGTCCGCACTACCGATATTTTGCCGCACCCCTGGATTATTCCACGCCGAAGAGCTTCCTCATGGGTCGAGAAGAGGTAGCCCATGGCATCATGTGTAGGCAAGAGGAATCCGTCGGGGGACGTGAGGCGACGGTTGTTTCGTCCTGGGAAAGCGCCCACCCACTTCGCGGACCCCATATCCCGAGCGATTTCGTACGAGAAAGGAGACTATGACGAACGTGCCGCGTCGCGTCCGCTTGCTCCTAAGAGATGAATGTCGACGAAAACAGCACTGCGTATTGACCTGCTAGGTATTATAGTCAACATCGCCGCACACCTGCTTTTTCCAAACTCCAGCCAACCCTCAACACACAAAGGACGAAGCGCTCGACGCACGCCAACACCACGACGGTGGCATAACCATACCCACCACAAGATCGATGATCAAAACACGGAAAATAACGGGTCTTGGGTGGTCGCGGAAACCTCGGTCGCAATTCTGCAGTTCAGCCTTAGAGACGTGGGGCCGAAATTTCAAGCCACGGTGCGAAAGACAGCGCTACGCTACGTCCCTGTGCCTGGCAGGTCATTGTCGCCAGAGGGAAACTAAATCCACCCAACTCGACCACGCTTCGAGCAGAAGTGGCGTTCCCGCCCACGGATCCCTCGGTCCAACCACTGCGCTTTCGTGAAAACAAGAGACATACCTGCGTGGCCGCGACGTACACGATCAGGATCAACGCGAACGTCGAGCCGAACTCCCAAGCCATGCCCTGACCCGTACTAGCGCCCGCCGCCAGGGTGGGCCCGCCCATACTGCTCGTGGCGTAGCTGGGGAGCAGCTTCGCCATGATGGGGAACGCGTAGAAGCCGCCCACCATTTGTCCGACGATGCGGACCACCTGGAGCATGGCGGGCGGAGACGAAGACACACCACAAGGCCGGGAGACGGGGTTGTCAAAACCCGAAGCATGAGAGGCACTGGACGTTTTTGGTTCTTGAGAATCGGGGCGCCGTACAAGTGGGTAAACATTCAAGAAACAGCATCGAGGCCAGAGACAGCAATAAGACAACCACTCCCAGCTCACAAGCAACCAACCTCCAGCCCGAGTGTTGCACAAAAGAAACACGAGGGTGTGGACATCTAGCTGTCCAATCATCTCACGAACGAAAATCTAGGTGGTTTGGGCGACAACGCCCACGATATCATTGTGCCTCATAAACCCCACATCGGTCGTATGCATAACAGAACATATACATGTGTGGCTCGAATCCCTCGCCGAGAACTTGCCAATGCCAATGCCACCGATATCGGCACTAACTCTTCGCACTGCCCAAAATAACTAGTATCGGACACGGGAAGTCGGCCCAAAAATAACGCGGCCAATATCCGCTAGGGCAACGTCTTCAACAAGAGTTCACCATCCTCGGCGGCTATTGATATCGTCTGCTCCGAATCTCGTCCCTTTGTACAAGGAATTACACACACTCGTCACCTACGGTCTGTTAGCACGTACCAAAGACGACTCGTCGTTCCAGCCGTAGAAGAAAGTGCCGACCGACATAGCGGGGTTGACTTGGGCGCCTCCGTTGGTGTAGTCCGTCTGGAAGGCCAACCCCGGGGTTTCGGTGTGAAAAGAATGCAGTACGGGGGGGCGTGCGGACGGGGGATGGAATGAGAGCGAAGATATCGAAAAAATTCCGACTTGTTGAAAACGCGAAACATGTTGATGCATGTACCGGTGCCCCGGTATCGGCGATATACAGAACAATAAGTCTTATCAGATGGTCGCATGTTCCTGCTTCTGCCAGAAGCGCCTCTGATTGCGCCTCTGAGTTCTCTAGAACACCACTCAGATCAGCTACAACACCACAGCTATTTTATTGTTGCTGCACATGACTGTTGCTGCCGCGAGGCAAGTGCTGTGATTGGTCTCACGATCATGACGGAGAAGAAGTGCTGAATCCAGGCGGACCACGTGTCGCCCATAAAGCTGTTGAACGGGAACACCATCATCAGCAGAGCGAAAGACCCGAAGGCCTCCTGTAACGCGGCAAGCGCACATGTCGAAGAAGCAATCATCGAATGGGGGTGAATTAGAGGGTGTTCAGAAACAAAGGCAAACAGGGCACAAGACGATGGAAAAACCAAGAACATGGCACACCCTCGGGGTGTAGATGACACCCTCGACAAACGACAAGGCCAAGCTACACCCGCTCCTGCTTAGGACAAATATTGGTTGTAGTCGGGTGGCAAGCGATTAGCTCTCAAGGTGGAATCCCTACTAAAATAGCGCTGCGAGTTTAGATTAGTTGACCTTGAAAGAAAAAAGCCAGAACATCGTCAAGCGATGGTTTGCATGGGATGGATTCCACGCTCAGGCGCCACTCGTCAGACGACTGATGAAAAGGATGGAAGTGTGACATGGCCGCACCGCCCCCTGGTAGCGAGATAGTCCAGAATGGTGATGATGGGTCCACGATGCTTGTGAAGGCGATTGGTTGCCTCGACATGACCCACCCCCCAATTCCAGTGTACTTGAAAGGAGGAGTAGACTTAACGGCGTCGATTATCTTTTTCCTGAATCCTGTGATGCCACGAACTCCGACCAGAAGAAGAGAAAACACGAAGGTGCTGAAAACCAAGGAAGTTGGCGGTTCCGCGACCACAATGCTTGGCGAAGCGATGGTAACTAGATTACAGCTTGAGATCGATTATCTTGTGTTCAATGCTTGCTGGCGTCTCCCCCCCTCGCAAGCAGTTCATATAGAGGTGTCGGTCGCGGTGCAAAGAGTCTTGAGCGGTAGCTGCGTGCCTAAGGTCCGGTGAATATGATCATTGGAGTGCTTTGCGAGCCGTAAGGCGAGACTAATCTACAGCGAGTGCGTGAAGAAGACCAGGATGAAAGCACATACAACGTGCTCAGAGCTCCAAGGCAACATGTGTACTTACGTTCAGCCATGCGACTGCGGCAAAGGCAGTAACCATGGGTGGGTTCATTCCCACCCCAAATTCGTTTCCCGAACCCGAAGCCCACGGCATAGACGGAAACATCTCCTTCTTCAACGAACCAGTGTACAATCACCTGCTGCGAGAAAAGAACACACTCTGCTGCGAGATGTCTATCGCAGAGCGCCCCGACTTGGAGACGAGACGCAGGAAAGGTTCGGGAACTCAAATTCCAAGGAATTGACAGCAGTTTTACCACCCATAACAGAGAAAGCGATTGTACCTGGAGGAAAATGCCCAGAGTCCTTTGAGATGGCATGATGGTGGCGGCTGTTGCGAAGAAAACTGTACAGCAGAGGTAGAGCAGACTGGCATGCCCTTGTGTGCGTCTCGGTCTCTCTCGGCTAGCTCTCGGCAAACAAGGGAGCGGCCCCCGCTGGGGTTTGCCCACCTTGATATATTGGAATAGTTTGCATTCTCTCGGAGCCCCCGCGGGATTTCCACTCGCGGTATCCTAGAGGGGACGATGCAATATTCAAAAATGCAAAAAAAACGAAAGACAAATGCCGGTCGAGCGGTCGAGACATCGGCAGGAACTGGATCTAGGTGGTACGTTGTTACTCCCTCTTCCCCCTTTGTGGGGCAGAACCACTGCAGCACCTCCTCCATTGCTCAAGCCTTGAGTGTGGTGGAAAGCGTAACGAGTACGAAAGGGTGGGTACATCGGGGTCTGTGACAACGAGCCGAGGCAAACTGCTGCTGCAGCGTTGAGGAGGCTAATGAAGGTGCGTGCGAAGAGCAACATGGAGGTCACACCACTCAATCCTGTACTTGTCAAGTGTCTTGTGCTCTCTACAAGGTAGGGTTCCTTGTCACCCGCGTCATTGGCACGGTGGAGTTGTTTATCAGCGCCGTTGGCCGCATCTTCCACAGGTAGTGCGATACCGCCGTCCGTTTCGTAAGGTACCACACCCCCCGCACCGATTTTCAAAGCTCCGTACATACATAGAATGATTCTGCAGCAAAAATAGGTACCACGGTGGCGTCGAGAGGTGGCGTTGGAACCATGACGCAGAGAGCTTTCGGAGAACTTATCATAACATACTTGGCATCCTGTTTGTCCGTGGAGTAAACAAGCTTTGAAGATCGGTCGAAGGGGGTGTGGTATCTTATGCAACCCAGTGCAAGCAAGTCTTGCCGCGTCAAAGAGACCAGGACAGGTTACAGCTAAGACCACGTCCACAGCGGTTCTTCCCTTTTCGCCTCGTGAGTCATCATCGTGGATTGCATGCGGTCATTGCATCAGTCTCGGGCTGCTACTTTGCATCCAGTTGTCGACGCATTGTACCACTTGGTACCAGGGAGCAGCAATGATTCGCGAAAGCAGCGGCGCTGTCGGACTCGGCTCTGTCGGACCCGGCACTGTCGGACGTACCCATGGGCACCAGTTGCATGCCTTTGTCTAGTTGTCCCTTCGCATGCTTCTGACGTGCTACACCAACTAATCCCAGGAAAGCTCATGCTCACCGCACCAACAGTAATTTGTAAAACGGGGCATTGCAATACACAAGAGTGTCTGCTCGCGTTTCGTTTTTCGCTGTGAAACATCCCTCTCCGCCACTTGACACTTAGGCACGCACCTGCACGTTGGTGGAGCATACATGGACCTCAAACCTTTGAAAATTCATCACTGCATGCATTTCGTACACGTTGAGTTCACAACTTCAAAGCTGTTCTTTGTACATGTAGCTCTCCGTTTTCCCCCAGTTGATCGCCACACGTACCCCCGAGTTCAGCGGACGAGGGATAGCGATGAAACACCGAAGCCGAAGTCAGTGGTACGCGTTGCCAGCTGTAGTCCCACCACTCAGCTGTGACGGTGGCCTACCGACACCCGAAACTAGTCTTTCACCTAGCTTGGACTTGCTGTTGTAGCTGAGACATCGAAGACACCGCAACAACGGCGGTATTTTCAACATTTTGTGTTGTATTCATTCTCTTTTGTCACTTTTCGCACTTCGGGAGAAGTCGAAAGGCAGTACTACCTTGCTGTGTGCTGTGTGCCGACGGCCTGCCTACCTGACACCACCACCTAGCGCCCAACCGAAACCCCTGCACTCAAAATAAATGCTTTTCGCGCCAAACGTACGCTGTCCTGCCTTCTGCTGTGAGCAGCCAGACAAGGTCATGGCGAGCGCGACGAGTGAGGGCTACTGCAACCACCTGCGCGGGCAGCTGAAAGAGTGGGAGAGGGCGTTTCGGAGCAGGAATGGCCGCTTCCCCAAACAGCGCGACTTCGAGGCGCTCGACAGCGACGCCTCGGCTAGAGGCAGGCTCGTGCACGCGGCGTACCTCGCCCTGAATCGAGCCACGGGCGACAGCTTTACAAAGGTGCATACCCCCCGCTCGTTTTCTCTTGAGGTCACACCCAACTATTTCGTGTAGCGTTTTTGATTTATGTGTGCGTGCCCACCATTGTGCTCCTACCCTCCTGGCCTCCCTCACGTGCAGTCGTGCGCATGTAGCGAGAAGTCCACTTCGCAGGAGCCTGACGGTGCGCCCGTGAAGTATGCAACTCCGTTCAACCTCTCCCCGAGCCTAGGTTCTCCGCATAAGAGATGAAGCAACCCCCCTGGTGCAATGCGAAAGCCTCGGATGCCTTGACGGACGTACCAGCCAATACGCGCTCCTCTTTTAGCTCCGAATCGCTCCTTTTGAGCGCTGGGTAAGAATCCTGCCTACCGTCCAACCCCCACCCGCCTCCGCTCTCGCCCCCGCCGTGCTCACTCGAAAGTCTTTAGCGACGAGAGAATCAACCCGGAATATGGTCATCATTGGGGGCCCTCGTCAAAGCGCCGCCGAGAGGAGCAATGGGGGAGCCCTGGGAAATGCCCAAAGCTTCCGTCAAAGTAGTAGCAGCAGCGGTAGCGGTAACAGCAACAACGGCCGGAACAGACCTGGGGCGGAGGGCGGTGATGGCGGCGGCGGGAGCGGCGGCGGCAAACACAGCAGCGGCGGCCCTGTCAAAAGCAACTCGATTTCTCAACACCTGGACATCATGGAACGCCTGCGCGCCAAGGTCCAACCGAGGTCGGGCTCGTCGCTAGCTTCTCTTCTCGCCCAAGGGAAAGCAGGGCAGCACAGGCCCAAGGTCAACTCCGTTCTCGCAGCCGGAGATGGCCACCGCCGCAGCGGCCGCGGCGCGGTAGGGACAAACAAGAACCGCCTCGATCGGAGTTCCAACGGAGCCGCCGGTGCGCATGTGTCGAGTCGCGCTAGGGCCATGGGAATGAGCGCCACGGCGACGAAGGAGCCAGCAGGCGCAGCGGCGGTGACAAGGCTGGAGAGAAACGCGTCGTCATCCCTCGCTCGGGGAGAGAACAGCAAGGGCGGTGTCCCACGCCTTGGTGGCTCATCTCGCTCGGTGGAAGGGGATGGATGTGGCGGTGGGTCATCCGAAGTCCGAGGGGGTGGCGGTGGCGGTAGAAGCACTCTCGCACGCGCTAGTAGTAGCAGAGGGGCAGCAGGGATGCATGCGGCGAATGGGGAGCGTCAAGAAAGCGTTAGGAAGGATATAGCGGCGGCGGCGGAGGCGGTGCCGACCTCCTCTGCTGGGAGCCCAGCGAGAGAGTGCGCCGTCGGGGTCGGCACGCGCTACGCCGGAGAACTGGACGGCGGCGCAAATGGCGACGTCCGTGGCGCGACGGCCTCCGGGAGTAGTAGCTGTAGCAACAGCAGCAGCAGCAGCTCTTCGTTTTATGTCAACGAGGGCCAGGAGGGGCCGCGAGAGGACGGAGCACCCACGGGCGCTGAGAGCGAGCTGACCCCCGAGCGTCGGGCGACGCGCAGAGTCGGAGGTGCGGCGCGAGGTGGCAGGAACGCTGTACCAGGTGCGAGCCGCAGCAACGGCTTGCGGTCGTTCCGAGCGGATTTCGGCCCGGGAGTAGTGGCCAAGAAGTCCCGCGCCACCGGGGAGCGTTTAGGTGGTAAGGTCTTCTCGTCAGCAAGCGCAAAAGGATGCTCCGAAGGGGTGGCGGGCCCTGGCCGGCGAGGGGAAGGCTCAGCGACGGCGACGGCGGCGGCGGGTGACGAGGCCGGCCTAGCGGTGGCCATGATGGATATTCTCCAGTCGTCTGGGTCGATTCTGTCCGCCAACACCACTCCCTCAGGTGCCTCACGCGTCGGCGATGGTTCGCGAGACAGACTAGGCGATACTGTCACCGCCGCCGCCGCTGCTTCGGGCCTTCTTCCGACGGCGGCGAGCATCGTCAACACCGTCGGCGGCGGCGGCGGCGGCGGCGGCGGCGGCGGCGGCGGAGCAGGCGCGGCTTTCGGCGGATCCTCCTTGCCTCACTCGTCGGGGGGTCTGGGCACACCGGGAATGGTCCGGGCAAAGAAGAAGAGGCCCGCCGCTGTGGTGGCAAAGGCGGCAGGACGTACGGCTGACAGTGCTGCAGCGATCTGCGGCCCTGGGTTGGTGGCCTCCTCCTGCTCTAGTGGTTTACGGCGCACCGGCGGCGGCGGCGGTAGCGGCGCGGAAGAGGACTGGCGCCTGCGAGCGTCCCGCGCTGTGGGGAGAGTGCGGGAAGAGGAAGAGGCGGGCGATGCAGCATTGGTGGCGGCGGCAGCGGCGGCTGCAGCTAACGCAGCGGGTGCTGTGGCCGACGGTGGTGGCCCGGAAGGCACGCACGGGGGAACGTCGCCAACGCCGACAAGCACCACGTCCCAGGGGCCGCAAGTCTCGCGGGTCACGGGCAGCGGCAACGCCACGAGCACCGCCGGCCGTGAAGCCATCGTCGCTGGCAACAAACAAACCACTGCCACCCCCTCCTTAGGAGCAGGCCGCATAAGCGACAGCGACCAAGATGGCGGTGGTGACGACAGCGACTGGAGCCTGGGAGGCGGAGGCGATACGAGCGCCAGCTCCACCAGTCGTCCAGGGAAGACAGAAGCGGCGGCGGCGTACGCCCGCGACCACGAAGGTGATTCCGCTTCCGATCGGGCTCGAAGGGCTAGCGCGGCCGGTGCCAAGCCGGTGCCGGGGGGGTTACCTTCTTCCCGCGCCATCGGCGGCAGAAAGAAGGCGAAGCCCGCCAAGAAGACGACGGAGGTGAGCGACAACTTCGTTCGAGCGGACCTCAAGAGCAGGGGCAGCAGCCGCTTCAAGCGCAAGGGCAGCGGGCGTAGCAAGGCCCGCGGCGGCTCCGGCGGCAGGAGCTTCGGCGGCGGCGGCCGCGGCGGTGGGGGTCGTTGTGGAGGCCGGGGGTTCGGGGGCCGGGGTGGGGGGTTCCGGGACGGGAGTTCGAAGTGGGGGAGCGGAATCAAGGGCAGGGAAGATCCGGTGACGGGGGAGAAGGGAGGGGCTCCGCGGGATAGACTGCTGTCTTGTGGTGCGGCGAAGAACCGCGCCGGTCTCGACGTCCTGGATCAGGTGAGGAGAAACGCA